TTCACCACTGATGGGAAATCATGCAAGCATGGGCATAGACAGCAGTAGAAAACTGACAGAGCTTTTTACTCTTCCCAATACAGCAACCTAGTGAGCATCACTAGATCCAACAGATTGGAGAAAAGTAGCCTATCAGTTAGGTAATGGCATTATACTAGTAAGACAACAATGGGTGGTTTTACAACATAGTTCAGCAGTACTATGATCTGTTGACCTAACTTGCGGTATTTCCACAAAAATGTAAAATTAGGGCTCATTAAACAGGGATTTTAAAGGCAAGAATTCTAGGCAATTAAGTTAATAACTTCTAGGTAAAAGCATTGCATGCAGTCTAAAATTACAACATGAGAAAATGACATAACACCTGAAATATAAATGCATTTGCACCTACAGCTAAATCTTACTCTAGAACTGCTTTATACCTTTTGGAGATATTCTGTGACTCAAACCTCTGCTGTGGAGCCAACTGAGAGTTATTTCTAGACAGATCAATTAAAATGTGAATCGCTTTTTTCTGGTGTCAAATCAGATACAAATTCCATTAGGTGGAGAGTATTGGAGTGACAGACAATATATTCCTACAGGGTTGACTCAGCAGATAGAAATGCTGATGTCTGTGTAAGGGCCTCAGTAGTTCCTTTCCAGTGTATTGACGGCAATACCTCCCTGCCAGGTACACTTTTGTAATCAAAAAGCTTTTGTTATTTTTTTTTTAATTTAGGCTTAGGTCAGTAGTAACTTGGTAAGATAGTGTTTGTAGTAGCCTCCCAAGAAAAGACAAAAGGTAAATTACATCTGAATTTGGTGTACCTACATAAGAATGAAAGTGATTGTGAAGCTACATTTTATTTTCAAATAACAAACATGTCATACCTACCTGCTCTGTGCAATGGGCTTGCACAGACCAGCCAGACACCTCCTTTTCTTTGGTCCCCCGCTGGCGCTCTCTGCTTCTCCTCTTCTCTGTGGGCCCTCTTAGGAAGCCAATTTCTATGGGGGCCCACCTGCGGGCTCGCTCCTAAGCCACGCTGCCTGCTTCCATAGACCCAGACAGCATGACTGTGCCCCACCTTTTCTTCTTAGAGAATTTGATTTACAGCAGCGGCCTCTGTGAACAGAGAGGGGAGAGCTGTGCTGAAACAGTTGGGCACATCGCTGGATAGAGAAAGGGCTCAGGTAACTATTATTATTATACAGTATTTATATAGCGCCAAAAAGTTTTCTCAGCGCTGTACATTATAGTGGGGGACAGTACATGAGACAATACAGTAACAATACAATACAATACACGAGGGGTTCGAGGGCCCTGCTCCTTGGAGCTTACAATCTAGGAGGGAGGGGATAGTGGTACAGGAGAAAATGGATGTGGGGGATGGAGTGGTAGGAGGAGATCGGCTGTTAGGTGAGGGCGGAGTAGGCTTCCCTGAAGAGATGGGTTTTCAGGGTGCGCCTAAAGGTGAGGAGGGCAGATGACAGTCTGATGGATTGGGGTAGTGAGTTCCAGAGGATGGGGGAAGACCTGGAGAAGTCCTGGAGTCGGGCATGGGAGGAGGAGACCAGGGAACTGGAGAGTAGGAGGTCTTGTGAGGAGCGAAGAGTACCTGTTGGGTGGTATTTGGATATCAGGTCGGTGAGATAGTTTGGGGCAGTATTATGAATAACTTTGTACATCAGTGTTAGTAGTTTGAATTTTATACGTTGGGCAATCGGAAGCCAGTGGAGGGAATGACAGAGGGGGGTGGCGGATACGGAGCTGTTGGTAAGGTGGATGAGTCTGGCCGCTGAGTTCAGGATAGACTGAAGCGGGGTAAAGCGGGGTAACTAAAAGGGTAAGTGAGTGGGCTATACAGATACAAGGACATGTTTGTACCTTAATGCAGGGAATACATTAAGGTGAAAAATGTCCATACATTACAACCACTTGAAGTTATGATAAAAATGTAGAAAAATAAGGATGGTCACAGAAGAGCAGGACATATAGGTGACTACAGGACTTTGCTTGTCTTCAGGGCTATCACCAAGCACAAGGAATGATTGAGATGGGATTGACTGACGATCAGTTGGAAGGGATTATCCAGCATGCGCCATGTGCTACCAGACAGTTTACAGTTTAAGTTAAAAAATAAATATAACCCCCCCGGCAATTGCATCAATAAAGTTGGTGGGAAAGGTTACCTCTGCAGTGTGTAGTATATAATAGTTTCTACTTACAGGGGCTGTTGTGGTATTTACACACTTGATACTCCACATTAACATTAAAGGAACTATACAGCTTTGTATGTGTTTTCCTTATCTATTATGGTTAGTGCTAAAAGGTAAAACAAATGTATCATTTTAATTGAGTAAAAATGAAATGTTGCATATGAATATTTTTATATTATCCACCTGTAGCCAGAGGGTATCAAATCCTATACCAGTGTTTCTCAACCTTTTCCCAATCAGAACACCCTGGAAAAGTATTTTCAGTCTCAAGGCACCCCTGTCCCAGGCTTGGTTCACGTTACTGTGTGTTGCAGAACTCATGCAAAATCACACTCATTCCTGACACGCAGATAAATGCTATGTTCTTTAGGGGTGCTGTTAATTCTTATTTGTAAACCACACTTTGGTAAACGCGGGTGTTTTTGGTGTGGCATAATTTTCCACAAAGGATCAGGGCTGACATTCCTTGCATTTCTGCAGGTAGGGTAGCCCATTGAAATGAATGGGCTGCCCTACACGCAGCACGCAGCCACACAGATGTGAACCAAGGGCTTCTCCACATGTGAGGTTGGAGGGTGGTAAAACCACATGGCTGAGTTGTTTTTACCACCTCCAGCTGCTTCCCCTTTAGCTGCAGAGGCAGTAGCTGGGGGTGAACACATGATGTGGCCACAGCTGGAAGTATATCCCCAAGTAAATAGAGCTGCACTGCAACCACCCCCCCCGCAACTGTATGCATTGTATGTGGTTGCAGTGTGGTGATGCTGCATTTACAAATAGATGGTGAGGAGGCAACATATTGCCTCTTTACCTTCTGTCACAAATGCCTCAGGTTGCTTTTCAGAGGAGCAGCAGTTCTTTCTGCTAATACAAAAAAGCCCTAAAAAAGTAGTTCTGATAACACAGGAATAGGAGGTCTGGATTAAAGGTAACATACATACATATACACACAGACACACACAAAAACAAACCCAAACATACTGTACATTAAAACACACTCATACAAACACATGTGTGCACACTTATACAAACACGTACACACATACACAAACACATGTACACACACATACAACCAATATACAAACACATATACACATGCAAACATGCACACACACGTATGTACGCACACAAACACATGTACAAGCACATGCACACATACAAACACATATACACATGCAATCGTGCACACACACGTATGAACGCACACAAACACATGTACAAGCACATGAACACATACACACACACGTAAACATACAGACACATGTACACACATTTACGTAGGTATGCACACACACAAACATATGTACAAACACATACAAGAGCCGCTGGCTTCTTAACAACCAGTTAAAATAGAACACTTTTGTTAGATACCGCATGCCTGGACCACTGCTTAATTACCACATGCATTTCATTATTTTTTTGCTTCTGGTACTTGGCTTTAACCCATTTTTATGCGGTATTTACTGACGTTTTTGACAGTTTTGCGGCAAATACCTCATGACTGTATAGTAAGATGACAGTTTCAGGATCACATGCGACATTTAGGGAAAATGTGTCAGACCACCTAAATTCCACAGCGGTCTTCTTTTGTGAATGGAGCCCAGTGTCACTGAAGAAGTGCAGTGTTCTTGAGAGCTTGCACTAAAATATATTGACTAAGCCAAACAAGATGTATTACATGTTTTGGCTTTCCTGCAGGTCAAAGCTTGCTATGGAAATATCTGTGAAAGTACTGGAACATTTTCCAACAAAGACTAAATAGCACAGCCCATTTTATGCAACAGTTTTATCTTCATAGCTACCGGCATGGTTTTAAAAAGCCCTAATAAATTTTGTATAACTAGTTTATTTTTTTTTAGAAAAACCTTTGAGTGAGTATTCATGTATCTTACTATATTTCACACGGAATCTGGTTACAATAAATCCCCACGTTAAATGTAATTATACGTTGTCATTTAAAGAGATTAGCAGTAGTTTACTGAGCAGTTATAAATTATGTCAATATAATATTTTGATGTATGGCATCTTTTTCTGTTTATATACAGTTGTGTTCAAAATAATAGCAGTCAGACATCACTAACCTAATCAGTCACTGTTTTTGGTAGAAACGATATTTCTACATGGCAAATAATTTACTAGCAGGTGTAGTAGAGTAATAGAAATCCAACAGACCCAACAGTCATGACATGCATGCTGCTGATTCTGTGTAATTGAATCACTAATTGAAAGGGGCATGTTCAAAATAATAGCAGTGTGGAGTTCTATTAGCGCGGTCATTTATTCTTTGAAAAACAGGTGGCAATTATTGCCCTTATTTAAGGAAGGAAGGCAGCAAATGTTGTACATACTGGTTACAGTGCATTTCTCTCTGAAATTCTGAGGAAAATGGGTCGTTCCAGACATTGTTCAGAAGAACAGCGTACCTTGATTAAAAAGTTAATTGGAGAGGGGAAAACATATAAAGAAGTGCAGAAAATGATAGGCTGCTCAGCTAAAATGATCACAAATGCTTTAAAATGGCAACCAAAACCTGAAAGACGTGGAAGAAAGCGAAAAGCTACCATTCGAATGGATAGAAGAATAGCCAAAATGGCAAGGACTCAGCCAACAATCCACTTTATTGAAAATAAAAGACCAAAAAGACAGGTGGGACAAAACACAGCAGGGGAAAAAAAAAAGTAGATGCGTTTTATGCTATTACCAGCCCTTATTTATTACCACATTATTCATGATATCATGTTTTTAAAGAAATGATTAGTATATAAGTATTTAGTATCATTACGTATTTTATTTTTTAGGCAAGTGAAAATCATCGCCTCCTTGCTGCATTTAAGGGCTTAGTGGATGATCTCCGATCTGAGTTGCGGGATGAAGCCATGGACAGACATGACATTCAGCAGCAGTTTGCAGAAGACAAAGCTGCTTGGGAGATGGAAGGGACAGAGCTAAGATGTCGTCTGGAGCAGGTAATCTAGGAGGAAAAAATGTTCATTTACCTTTTATCAAACCGTGAATGATTTTTTTGTTCCAAATATATTGCATGTTCAGTGTTTCAACAATAACTGTTAAATGCATTAACACCATTGAACAGCTTATTTGATTTTTAGGAAATTAATATTATTAATATTTTTGAGAATATATACAGAGAAAAGCAGTCAACACTAAATAAATCTGTAATAAAGATAAATCTTGCTATTTAATCACAGGTTCAGATGATAATTGGACATTTGAAACCATCCGGCAGTGCAGGAATATAGGTATACTATATCAACATATCATACCAAAAACTACCTATACACTATTAGGTGTGGTCACTATATTACAACTTTTTTTTTTTCTCTGCTACCATTTCTTGAATACATTGTCTATGGATGATAGTGTGGCGAGCAATCTGCCACTAGCTAATGTTGGCTGGGAGGGACACGTGCTGACACTGACATCAATATTGACACTAATTCAGTGATCAGTGCTAATACTGTACAATGTCACTGTACTAATGACACTGGCTGGGAAAGGATTAACATCTAGGGGAAATCAGGGGCTAATTGTGTGCCTACAAATGTGTAATGTGTCTAAAATGTGCTGCTTTTATTTACAGATCTTGCTGTTTTATCTTCTGTCCTTGAGTCCTGTGTGTTTGTCAACACAGGAATCTGTGCTGTGATTGAATACAGCCAATCAGCAGTTTTCAGTCAAAATCATTGGCTGAAACCTGTTGACAAAATCACACTGTGTGCAATCACAGCACGGGTCCACAGACCCGGAAGAAGCCAGTCATGTATATATATGTAACTGAGCCTACCTGTGATACCACGCCGCAGTAAATGTACTGTAGTGTGGTGGCGAGAGGTTAACCACTAGGGGACTGCCCGCAGTACATTTACTGCTACAAGGTGGCCCCTGTGTATATAAACGTGATCCTGCATTCCGGGGTAGGGGGCGCGCACAAGGCACACAACCACCTTACCTGTGGCACCGATTGCGGCCGTGGGTGTCAGTCACCGGGTCCTGGCCGGTGATTACCCGCCGGAGCCCAGCGATTGCCAGCAAAAAAAAAAAAAAAAGATGGGGAGGAAGGCTGCATTGTTTTCAATGGAGTTCTTAATCCCTGTCAGCTTCAGCACACTGTTCCGGGATCGCTGGACACAGCCTTCCAGAACAGTGTGTAACAGAGAGGTACACACCCCTGCCCCCTAGTAAAACACTTCCCTCACACAGTTAACCCTTTGATTGTCTCCAAAAGTTAACTCCTTCCTCCCCAGTGCCTTTAGTACAGTGTCTGTGTTTGTTTTTTTTTTTTTTGCACTGATCACTGTATTGGTGTCACTGGAAAATGTCAGTGACCCCAAGTCAGTTCCCCCCCCAGTGTCAGAATGTCCACTGCAGTCCCGTAGTCCCGCCATAAGTCTCTGATCGCCACCATAAGTCGCTGATCGCCACTATTATTAGTGTAAAAAACATTTCAGTATATATACCGCCATTTGTAGACGCTATAATTTACACGTATTGGGATTTTTTTTTAGCAAAGACATGTCACAGAATACATTCTGGATGACATTTATGACGAAATTTGATTTGTAAATTTTTTACTGGACATGTTTTATCGCAAAAAGTCCAAAATATTGTTTTTTTTAATCAAAATTGCCGCTTTTTTTATAGCGGAAAAAATAAAAAACACACAGGCAATCAAATACTACCAAAAGAAAGCTCAATTTGTGAGGAAAAAAGGATGTAAATTTCATTTTGGTGCAGCGTTGCATGACCGCGCAAGTGTCAGTTAAACTAACGCAGTGCCGTAACACAAACCGCTTATGACACCGCTTCCTGACAGTCCTATAGCAGAAATACTGCTACAGGGCGGCACAGGTGCACAAAATCACATATATATACGTGATTCGCGTTCTTGTGGTTTTCACGCCCCCCCCAGATAGCGTCAGATTGCCCGTCAGTACACCAGTCATCACATTTAACCCCTTGATTGCCAGGAAGACGGTCATACACAATAAACCTCCAATGCTAGTATAGTGTCTGAACGGATCAATATGTTTGATCAGATCAGCACTATACCAGCGTTCACATTAGTATAGTGTCCCAAAAAGCCAGAGTTAGCGGGATAAGCCCCGGAACCTGCCAGCACCTGCGTTTATCCCCTACGCTTACCCCCTCCCTTCTCCCCCAGCAAGTGCAATGTCAGTAGGTCGCTGTCACTTGATACATTGCACACAAAACCGCAGTGTTCGCAGAATCAGGCCTGATCTCTGTTAGCAAATTTTGATGACTCTCATATGCAGCAGAGTGCCAGTACTGAACTGGCGAGCACCAGCGGTCTAATACATCCTGGTCTTTCACATACCTCTTAGACTGTAAGCTCCCAGGATCAGGCCCTTCTAACCATCTTGTATTGAACTGTATTGTTGCTGTATTGTCTCCCGTTATATTGTAAAGCGCTGAGCAAACTGTTGGCGCTGTATAAATCCTGTATAATAATAATAATAATGCCAGAACTGCAGTATCACTTGGTGACCTGGCGAGTCCCATAAGTGCAGTACAAGCTGGTGTGGTGGCGAGCACAAGTATTGTCCCACAACCACCAAGAATTCATCTCACAGGCCCGTAGAGCCCCTAGTATCCTCCTGGATGTGCTTGCAAATCCCGATTGGCAGCCCACAAATTCTGCAGCTCCTGTACTTCCCCCATTCACTGCCCAACCCGGAATTCAGGTGGAAATAGCAAATTTAACTCCTGCCCTTAATTTTTTGGAGCTGTTTTTCACGGAAGATCTGTATGCATTGATTGTGGATCAAAGCATTTTAGATGTACAACAATTTATCGCCGCCAACTCAAATTCAAACCTTGCCAGACCATTCGCATGGAAACTCATTACGGTTTCTGAATTTATATTTTTTGGGGGCCTAACCCTCAACATGGGCATTACTAAAAAAAATTAATTGCGGTTGTATTGGTCTACAGACCCTATTCATCATATGCCGTGTTCTCTGCTGCCATGGCCGGGCATAGATATATGAGTATAATGTGTTTTATGCATTTCAACGACAATACACTCGTCCTCAAGGTGACCCTGAATTTGACCGGCCCCACAAAATTCAGCCCCTCGTAAATCACCTTAACCAAAAATTTGTAGATGTCTATACTCTCCAGCAAAACACCTGCGTTGATGAGTCCCTCATTAATTTTTCTGGCCGCCTTGCATTCAAACAATTTCTCCCCAGCAAGCATGCCAGATATGGGGCCAAGATGTATAAGACCAAGAGGCTATACTTATAAGTTTCGGATTTACGTGGGAAAAGATAGGCACGTGGAGCCCCCCCATCCTTTTTTGTGTGAAAAAAGGACATAAGTTTCATTTATGTACCGTGTTGCATGACCGCGTAATTGTCAGTTAAACTAGCGCAGCGCTGTATAGCAAAAAAATGGCGTAAATTGCAGTAACTATACCATAGTTTGTAGACGCTATAACTTTCACACAAAGCAATCAATATACACTTATTGGGATTTTTTTTTACTAAAAACGTAGCAGAATACATTTTGGTCTAAATTTATAACTAACTTTGAGTTTACTATATATTTTTTATAGCAAAGTAAAAGATATAATTTTTTTCAAAATTTTTAGTCTTTTTTTTGTTTATAGCGCAAAAAATAAAAGCGCACAAGTGATCAAATACCACCTAAAGAAAGCTCTATTTGTGTGTAAAAAAGGACGTAAATTTCGTTTGGGTGCAGCATTGCATGACCGCGCAATTATCAGTTGAATTAGTGCAGCGCCGAGTAGTAAAAAGAGGCCTGGTCATTAAGGGGGGTAAATCCTCTAGAGGGCAAGTGGTTAAAATAACAAAATAATACAAATATTTTTTAAAGGACAAAAAAGGCTTCCTTTTGTGATATTGTCTTTCAAAAATGATTTTTAAGCAAACCTTAGACAAAAATAGTAATACAACTAAAAAAGTGCATTTTTCATTTAAAAATAAAAAATATTTTGTGTTGCTGTGGATAAAAGCATCCATTTTCTATAATTGTTCTGTTTAAAATGACACCAGAATTATTATTTTGGTACAAAAAATTGGATGGACTGGTGTCTTTATTCAACCTTGTCAACTATGTAACTATATGTAACAAAGTTATTTTAAAATTAAATATAAAATTGTTTTACATTTTGTGTTTTTTTTAATGTAACAAAGAAAACAAATGTGAATATATTTTATCATTTTAATGAGTTCTAAAGTAGAAATTCGCAAAAACAAATCAGCAGAAATATAAAAGGGAAAGGAGGTAAATAGAGCTGATTAGGGTTAATAAGGTGTTAAAGAACAACAAATTTTAATTAGGAAAAAATTATTTTTGCTTGTAGTTTTTTACTTGACATAAGCAGATCAAAGCTCATCCATTTGATCTGGAGATGAATGAAGCAGAGTAAATACATAGTAGCAATGTTTTGTGTCTGAACAGTGTTCATTTACAGTCTGTCGGAAGGTCCATTTTCATACAGTAGCAGCTCCTAGAGTTGCTGCATTTACAAAGCAACTCCTGGCTTTTACTTTGAGCCTGGGTTCACATTTATGCGGTGCGGTATATTGCATTTGATTCGCACAGGAACCGCACCACATACATTTGTATGGCTCTATTCGTACCACACCAAAAACATGTAGGATCCTTTTTTGGGTCTGCAATAGAATCAAATCGCATGGGTATTCACACCTATGCGATCCGATTCTGCACATCGCACTGCATTTTGCGGACCGCTTTTGGGGTGTTGTTAACTCAATATACACACCCACAGCAGTTCGCATGAATGGGGTGCGATTCTGATGCGGTGCGGAATTTGCACTGATAAGCTGCGAATTCCACACCGCATCAGTGTGAACCAGGGCTGAGAGCTTGAAATTCCAGTCAAATAGCGGGTGGTGGGGGGTTGGGGGGGAACAAAAGGTCTGTATACTCGCCTTGTGTA